TGGTATCCACATGAATGCCAGAACCAAAGGTTTCCCAGCAGAACAATGCATTGGAACAAAATAATCAAAGTTATTCACTTCACCTGTCAGTGGTTTGAATGTTTTGCCTGATCGGTGTATACATAAAACATTGTTTTATGTTACAAAAATTATTTGTACAAAATTCAGTCAGTTCATGTTTTTTCCCTTGAAATTTGGTTATTGTTAAATTGGTCTCAAGCTTCATTCCAAGCAAAAAAAAACAGTCTTAAAAAGTCCAAAATCCAATTTGCCCTGAGCTGTAGAAACCCTGTGTGTAGTTTCTTCCTGTTACTGCAGTATTTACAGCACTTTCTAAAAGCGAAGAGATGTGTGTGTGTCAGATGTGGATTATGAAAGGTTGCGGGATGCTGCTCTTTTCTTGGATTCAGTTTTGGTCAACAGCTGGAGAAATCATGCACAACATTTCTTTTTTTAGTTGCTATTTACAGTAAAAGTACAGTAAAGCGTACTTTGTGGATTCAGTTTTATAAAACTAAAAATAAAATTATGATCCTCTGATCTGGTCAAACTGGTTTTACACTTAGAGAAGAGTTTATATATTATGCTGTGTTTGATCTAAAAGTTATGTCCTCTAGTTTTTATCATGGCCATGCTGAGGTGTAATTTCCAGTGGGGACTAAAATCCCATTTCTGGCCACCAGCATTTTCAAAAACATTTTTTTAAGCCAAAAAATTCATGTTTAATATGCTTCTGTTAGACAGCTGTTGGATCCTGGCTGAGATTGTGAATTAAGATGCTGGTTTTGCTCTGACATACTGAGCAGCATATTTAGTTTTATTCTGGCAGAATTTAGCGTGAACTTAATTATTTCTTGGATTTTTATTTGGTAACTGAGGTCCCTAAATGTGTGTCGATATGCAGGAAATGGGATTCAATTTTTTTTCTGGTAGATGACACCGATTATTCGGTGTCATTTATCTCAATATGACAAACTCAATCCTTTGTTAATACATAGAAATCCAATACCTTTATTTTACATTCATACATCTATAACATTGTACAATAATTTTAATGCAGTTAAAAAAGCCCAATCCAAAAACAAGTCCTGAAGATTTACAATGATGAATTTGCATGTTTTAAGGTTGGTGACAAGCATTTAAAAATATATACACACGCTCACTCGCACACACACACACTCACATACACACAGGGGGGTTAGGACAGGTGTTGTCCTTGAGTTGTACCTTGATGGAGCTGGGCTGAATGGAGAGGAATTCAGACACCATAGAGAAAGGCACATTGAATACACAGTGTATGTACAAACAAAAAACCTTGACACTTACACAACTTTACTGTAGGAGCTAGAACAATGACCAAAAACTGTAAACCTTCACTTATGGAAAACAAATGAACAAAAACAAAAGTCACATCTATACAAATACATTTGAAGCAAAATATTTTCTTGGTCATAACAAAGCAGTACCTTGAAATGCATCTCAACACTTAAGATTGGCTCTGCCAGCAGAGAGCAATCCCACAGATATAATTACACAATATGTCACAATATTTATGCAGTTGCCCACTTCATGTGCGCTGACAACTGGCAGAGTACCTCATGCATAACCTCATCAGACAGCAGCAGCAGTCATCTGATATGTTTTGACTGAATCCAATTACTATGTCGTTTTTTTTTTCTCCCACCTCACATGAATATGGCAACTTGACATGGTGCAACATGTACGTACATCTACATAAAAATGTATAGACAACTCTATACAGCCGCAAATCTCGTAATCTTAAAATATATGTACCACCCGTCAATCAAAATTTCAACACTTTCAGAAAAGTAAGTTCTCTGATATAAAATACTGTATTTTCAAAAAACAGATTGTTTACATTCCATCCTTCTCAACAAAATAAAGCTTTATATACGTACCTTCAAAGCTTAGAAACACTCCCAACATACATATATATATATATATTCATATCTATATAGAAACAATAAAGTGACTAAGATGCCATAAGTGGCTCTACGTTCACATGTAGTGGAAACCCGTTTAGAATGGCGTACGCAGCCAATTTATTTGTCTAATGAACACAGTGTGGCACTACAATTTTGGATGATTGTACAAGTTGGGGTCTTTAAATGCCAAGGTCAAGATTGCCTCCATTAAAACTGTTCACTTCTTCCAGCTCAGCACGCCTTCGTCAAGTCAGTGGGCATGTCCGCCGTCGACATACGGTACTGGATCTTTGTGTTAGTGATGGCGCCATGCTTCTGTCGAAGATGCAGCCGCAGTTGACTCTTGTGGCGGAAGTGCAAGTTGCATTTCTCACACTGGAAGAGAAAGCAAAATTAATTCGGGGAATTTTATGAAGGTTATGCAAACGTGTGTTTTTTGTTTTTTTTTTCTTGAGAAGTGAAAAACAGTTTGAACCTACATGGTAGGGCTTTTCTCCCGTGTGTATGCGCAGGTGGCTCTTCAGCGTCTGCAGGTGACGGAAGCGTGTTCCACAGATCTCACACGGATATGGCTTCTCACCCGTGTGGATCAACACGTGAGCGCGGAGATGAGCAACCTGAAACGTGAAAACATAAATAAAATCAGCGAAAACCAAATTATCCGACTGACAAAAAAACTTCAAGCTGTCTTCTGGGATTGAGTTATTTTCCACAGACACACTTTAATGAGACATTTCAGACAGCACACATATTAGCACTCATCGTAAAAAGCCAAAACACCCCTGAGGATGTTCCTCACTGTAATTATGTGTACGTCTGTTAAGCTGAAAATTACCACTCCCACCCATAGTTACAGTTCAGAGTTGAGTATTAGTGCTATTAGCCAATATACAATAGAGAGGGAAAATATTGTATGTCAGGGTGTTATTACCTGTACAAAACGAGCTCCACACGTCTCACATTTGTATGGCTTCTCTCCTGAGTGGATGCGAGTGTGAGTCTTGAGGTTAGCTGGTCTGTTAAACTGAGCACCACAGATATTACAGCGATACGGCTTCTCTCCTGATTGAAGCAAAATCAGAGGGAACAAAAAAGTTAGACTCCAGCAGCAAATCAAGCAACAAAGGATCTGACAGACAATAGACGAGTCTCTTTGATGTACCTGTGTGGACGGTCTTGTGGCTGGCGAGGTTGCCCTTGTAGCGGAAAGCCGCCTGGCAGCGGTCACACTTGTATGGCTTGTCGCTGTGCACTTGAAGCATGTGTTGTTTCAGCGCTTCATCCTCGGCAAACTTGGAGTCACATTCGTTACAGAAGAATGTGCCGTTTTCTGTGTGGGAGAAATTTCAGTGAACCTCTAGTCCTCAATAATAATTTTTTGATTTGTCACCGACACTTGAATAAGAGTCGTAAACTCACCACAACTGGAGTCGGAGTATTCTGAGTGCAGCTCTGCCATGTCCTCTGATAGACGGGACCTGGAGGAGTTGGGACACACTTCTGAGTGCTGTGGGGACGGTGTGCCACAAGACGAGCAGTTGAGGCGGCTCAAGTAGTGCGGAGGGTGGCTGTCACCGTTCCTCAGTGACCCCTCCAGTGCGCTACAGACACAAAACAAATACTTCCAAGTCAGACGCAAAACAAACACTTTAAATCAGTTGTAAAAAAAAAAAAAAAAAAGTACTTTAAATCAAATAAATTGGAAAATTTTAAATTTGAAAAATGATCTTGGTGAATGTCCAAAATCTAGAACATCAAACTGGATTAACAAAAGCATAAAAACATGGCCATGAATTCCTCCGCTCTTATGATACCCTCCTACACTGCTCCACATCCTCCCAGGAAGTCATACAAATTGGTTCACATGTAAGCTGTGCATGTGACAGAAACCTCACCTGTTAATGATGTTGTTGAGACGACTCGCCTGGGGCACGGGTAGGTCCTCACTGTGATCGTTGCTCTTGCTCGTGGTTTGTGGGTCCAGGTTCTCCGAGTCGCTGGGGTGGAGGTAGGGTTGCAGGCCAAGGCGCTGAGGTGACCGAAGCCCGGGATCCCGCAGCCCCACCTCGTCCTCCTTAGCGCTCTGATTCAGCACGATGAACTTGTACTTCTTCCAGTTGCGAGATTTGGGGTCCTGCGTCCCTTGCGGAGCTTGCACTGCAGCGGCTTGGGAGAGGCCGGCGTTCTTGCTACTGCTGGACTCTGTTGGGGAGTTGGGCTGGCAGTCCGATTTGAGGGGGCTCTGCGGGCTGCTCATGAGGCTCTTGCGTCCAGCAGAGGAGATTCCCAGGGGGTAGTGCTGATGGATCAGGTCTTCCTCTGCCTGAGGAGCGTGATCTTTTCCCGAGTCTCTCTGGTGCTCGAGGGTCAGCACAGGAAACGCACGCTTCCTTGTGCCGAGCGCGATAGACTGGCTGACCCCCTCGTGGCTCTCCTTCCGCATCTCATCGTCTCTCCCTACCTCCCTGGAAGCGTAGGTGGTGGAGTGAATAATGCTGGAGGAGCTGGTGCCAACCGCCCTGGTGTATTCTGCCCTGATGATGTTGGCGCTGTCATGCGGAGAACAATGCTTGTGGTGGATACCACTCTTAGAGAGGTCAGCAAAAGCGTTTTTGGCATCAGTCAGCTTGCAGAGAGGGAAAGGGAATCCTGGCATGGGAAACTGCCCGTAGAGATGGTAGTTGCTGGGGGTGCTGACCCCATTGAACATGTTTGAGCCGTAGGGCCTCCCATCCCTGAACGGACCTACGCGGCTGTGCAAACTATCAACAACATCATGGGGCCGGTACGCGTGGACATCCTGAGGTAAAACCAAGGGACTGACCAAAAACTCATCTCTGGGCAGCTTGGCAGTCGGATCACTGTGGAAAGAATGAGAAGGTAAAAAACGAGACAGATGCTCATGATGATGAATTTGACCGATGTAATAGAACCTTATTCTGCCAACCTGGATTTGATGAATCTGTGGCAGGTGTCCACAACATGGTCCATCTGCAGGTAGATGGCTGTGTTCATGATCGCCATAATAAGACTCTCCTTTAGTGTGAGACGGGAGGTGTACATAAACTCCAGCAGGATGGCGAAGCCCTCTGGATCCACCTTTGGGTCCAGACTGATTGCATTAAGGTTGCACTTGTGGGAGTCGGTAAAGATGGTGTAAAACAGCCCACTGCGGCCACGTAACAAAGAAAGAGATACAGACAGAGCATACAAAGATCAGTCATTTCACCATCAAACAGCAGGAGAGTACTGGCTCATAAAACTTGGCCTGAATAACACACACCTGCAAGCCATGAGAACAGTCTTGTGTGCACGAAACTGCTGTCTGTTAACCAAGATAGTGACATCTGTGAGGATGTCTCTGCTGCGCAGCCGGTTCAGGTTGAGCAGGACATCACTTGCATGGCGTGTGAATTGTATGCAGCTGTCTGCTGCGCAAGCCATTTTGTCAAGTTCTGCAAGAATAAAAAATAAAAATTATTACAAAAAAAAATAAATGTCCCGCTGAGTCAGTGCCACAATTCACCCCTCTGTGTCAGCGCTGGAGTTCAGGTGATCTTTAAATGAATTCATTGGGCTGAAATTATTTATGATCCGCACAAGGTCTTTATCACTGAGGCAGAAACACGTGCAGCCGTTCCTCCAGAAGGCGGCGCCATTTATTAAATAAACACCGTCTAGACATTTAAATTTCTACCTTTGCAATCATTTCTCTCCCCCTCACTTTCTCTCTGTTGAAACCACAGGTTGACAAGTTAATATAACAAATGAGGCAGAGGAAAAATTTAGTACAGTATAACAGACTGGGGCAGACAAAAATATCCATGATATGAGTCTGTAATAACGGTTTTAAAAATAATATTTTTTTTTCCGGAAATATAAAAATAATGACATTGTTTCACACTGACTGATTGATATAATAAAAAATAGTAAAATACAATTTACATAATGGCATGCCTTGAGTATTATTTTTAGATATGTTAGCGGTTTTATTATTTACAAATTAAAATGAGCATCAGCTCGCTCTTATTTCTCTGAATTCAATCTAACAGAGAAAAGTTTGTGTCTCTGCCTTCAGCGCGCCGGTGTCGGATTTTCACCCTGAACACTCCTGAACAGTTTCCAGCTCACTTATCACTACAAACTTTTTATTGTCACTCAATAACACCCAAACTATGAATTTTAATTACAACCGCAAGATGTCCTCGCCATGATTGAATCTTCAAAATAAGCCGGTGCAGCTGGCAAGGTTACACAAGTAACACCTTCCCCTGTTTGCTCTCATCCAACCTGTGACAGCCCAGCAGCGCTCTGTGTATTCCTTCTCTTTCCTCTGCCAATATAGCAGCGCATTTCTGGGTCAGTTAAAATTTAATTTAATTAAGACAAGGCAGATTGGCTTTGTAATAACACGCACGCGGATTTGCGACAGTATCTTTAACTGAATGTGAAGACTGAAGTCTGTAACTGGACACGTCCGAAAATAGAAGCAGGACAGAATGCAGCCTAAATAGACTGATATCCTCTGATCTGAAGGTGCTGGCAAACAAGCAGGAGTGTTGTCAGGAAATTTTAAAAGTTTACTAAGCACGCTCATTTCTGTCAGCCCAAATATCCCCCTTACGTTTTTCTTTATTTGATGAGCCCCAGCAGTGTAATTGCAGCTGTCCCTGAGCACAAACACGGTCTGACCGAAACTCAGAAATGAGGCAACACTTTGCAGGGAAGCCAACTGTGAGCGCATCTCTTCAAACCAACTTGTTACGAGGGCTACCTCGGTGTCACAGTGGAAACACAACTTGGTGCGACGACGTGTCTTCTTGTAGCCTCTATCTACCGTGGAAAAAAAAAAAACCACACACACACACTCACTCTCTCTCACTCTCTCTCACACACACACACACACACACACCCATCAACACTAATGTTTCCGCTACAATATTACGGTAACAGAAGGGCTTGTTCGGCGCAGCCTTTTGCGCTCCATTGGAGCAAATTACCGTCGGAAGTTACAAAAAAAACTGAAGCTAAGGGTGCCATGCTGCCAGCAAAGTTAGTGTGACAGCGCTGTGTGTTGACACTGTAGCTATTAAATCAGAGCGCGTTTAAGAGCCGAGCAGCCAACTGTCCTCCCCGGGAACAGCGCACCACAGCCGGGGCTTTAGGTCGCCTTCACACCGCTCTCACAAAAACCCTAATTCGCCCTTCATCTGCACGAGTGTTATTACAGCTTTACAACATGACTCCGTGTCAGCGCGGCATGTCAGCCCGCTGTCTGCCTCTCTATCTGTCTGTCTCTCTGTCTGTCCCGCTGGCTCCGACCAGCCATCACAGCGCAGCGCGAGGCAGATGATCTGTCAGAGAGGGAGCCGCGCGCTGCCTGCCTGCCTGTCACTGCACGAGCCACTTCAGAGTTTCGACTCTGCACTGTTCAAACTGCCAGCAGCCCCACACACACACACACACACACACACACACACTCACACACACTCACACACACACACACACACAGACACAGTCTCCCCTCCAAAAAACAGTCAAAAACAGCACAAATAGCTCAGTGTAAAACATCAGCAACACACAGTAGATAACAACTTCGCGCCAAATTAGAGGAAAAAAAGGAATTTAAAAAATCACCTGGTAGCGCTTTCCTAGAAACTTCTTGCATCACCACTTCTAAGAACCCCAGTTCTAAGAATCAGACGAGCTCAATTCTCGGAATTTGAGCCCGGGACCGTACCACTCCGCCGCGGCAGGGGAGTGACGTTTCCCCCCTCTGTGGCGACGACAACTTATTTCCAAAGCGCTTATTCTAACAGGTAACACACATAATCACTTTAACAGCCAGCAGCGCGTGAATGCAATGTTTTTCCAAGTGAATTATTTCGTAAAATAACGCGGGGAATTGTTTAATATCGCTGCGACCCCCCCCTGCTTTTGGTTGAGTCCACAGTCACAGCACGTCACCAGTTCCTTAAACCCAGCCCCCGAAATTCTCAGAACTAATTTATATTCCATGATTTAGGCGATGTGTCGTGTCGCTGCCGTCCGTCGCATTTAACACACAGACCCTACATGTACAGCACACAGACCGACAGCTTAATTAGGCCCATACGGACAGGTCGATGAGACACACTCTCATTTCTTTTTTATTTTTCTAGCCAGATTTCCTGCAGGTCCGCTGACTTCATAGATGGAGAATGCTGCGAGTCACCATCGGGGGTTTGTTGAAAAAGGAAAGCTTTAATAGATTTATTATTCACAAGTCTATAGGCAGAGTCGGTGTGGTGTGGATGTGATTGTTGTAGCTGGTGTCGATGCATGGTCCGGAGTTTTTAATACTCTCATATGCGCATATAACGGTTTAATACACTCGTGTTGTGTTAAAGCGGCTGGTTTTCTTCTGCAGACAGTGGGTGGCAGATTTAATTGTAGTTAACTTAACACAGAAAACTTGTTGCATGAAAGTCTAAAGCAGTGAAATGCAACCAAGCTTTAATTGGTTATATTTCAGAATGTGTAGAGTGTTGTAGTTTAAAATGCCTCTTGTAGACATTCAAATTTAATGTCTGCTTTGCTGCTGTAATGTTATATCTATCATCCTCCCAAAAACACTTTACACACACTTCTTATTATGTATTTTATTTTGAAATGTTTCCTCCTTTTATAATGGTTTAATAACAAGGTCAGGGTGCTTGTGAAACCGTCCACATCAGGTGATGTGCACACTTACAAACATTGCTCATTGAAATGCAAAGTGAACGTTTCCTGGAAAATTAATTGAATGCATTGCTGTGATTTTTCTCCCCCTCTACCATTTAATTTAAGGCATGTGTACTCCCTGTTGCATCATTTCTCAGAGTTGGGCGAGAATAAACGCAGTCTTCCTTTTTTCTTCTTTTGTACTTTTCAGCTCACTAGTGTTTTTACTTCACGCTCTTTTAGTTTGGAACAGTCAGGCTTTTTGTTTAAGACAATGGCGCGGGAGACGAGAGCTGTGTGATGTGAAATGAGAACTGGTGTGAGGTTAACATATAGGTGGTGTGTGATGGCTGGTTGGGGGGGGGTGTTATGACAGCGTCTGAAAAGTTGTATTAATTTTAGGAGTTGTGGGCAAGCATTTACTGTCAGTGACTCACCTTGGAAACTTTGTTTGTGGTGACTCCAAACCACGGCTTCCCCGTCTTTTCTCATCCTGTTCACCCCTTGGCACAGAAGCAGCATTTGTTGAGCTGATGGTGCACAACAAAGACAAGTTTGTACAGTTAATTAGAAGAAAGTGTACATTTCTAAATATATCTTCAGTATTAGAAATAAAACACAAGACCCCTGGTTTGAATTAAATGCCTTTGTGGCGCTGATCAGATAACTATTAGAATAATTAAGATGATACTCGTATCACTGTGACGAGTGGGCAAACAGATTAGATTAGCTGTAGTCAGTTTTAATAATGATAACAATCAGTAACACATCCCATGTTTGAACAGACAGCCTTGTAATCTGTATTGGAGTTTTATTTTGGTAAACCGTCCACATTTAGGCTTTTAATACGTCTACACCTACTGATCGCTACACATGTGAGCAAGAAATTGAGGAATATGTTGTGAATCTTTGACAAACGGAGAAGTGTAAAGTATATTTTAAACTTAGATTACCTTGATTTAATTTGAAACTAATTTACTTTTGATTAACATGAGGATGTTTCTGTAATTTTACACAAGTCACAGTTTTGAGAGAGATTTAAAATGTGTCCTGATCCCACTGTTGTTGCACAATAATGATAACATGAGGTTTAATTCAAGGGCGTAGGCTTCTTTTAAATATTGGGGACACACACACACACACATCCATCAGGGTATTTGGGGGCTCTCTGTCAGAACATTTGGAGCATTTTTCTCCATTCTTGAGAATTTTTCTGCATCAATTTCTGGAGTAAAAAGCTTTAATCTTGTCAAAATAAAAGCATATCTTCTAAATATTGCAGGGCACATGCCCCCCTCAACCCTAAATCTACACCCCTGGCTTAATTAACACCAGTGAGTTACCTTTATCAGTCAGGCTGCTGATGATTCAGATGCCTTTCTTTTGTTTTGTCTTTAACCCTTCACGTGACGCCACCCTCCACTCTAATGCAACCCACATCTCCCTGTGGATTGCCCGAGCATCCGCCCATTTGGATCCGGCATCCCACTAAAAACACTCCAGGTGTTTACAAACCATTGGGGGTGGGGAGGAAAAAAAAAAGTCTCCAAAATAATTAAGACGCACGCGTTCACAGCAACCTCCGATTCAGCACTGCCAAATAAAGACTATCTTGAGCTCCAAACAAAGAGCAGCGTCAACTTTATTTCAATCCACTTGGGGGATGTTTAAGGCGCTCCAGCACAGTTATGCATAATGCACGGCCATAAACCATCCAGGAGTTAGGAGAGAGATGTGTAATTTACCGAGGCCCCATGCTGTGCCCAGCTATAGAAGGCTGGGATAATTACTGCAAATCCTTGGCAAACTTTTACTCAACCAATTCCTAGCAAAAATAAATGACCCACTTACAGAGGACAGAGAAAGAGTGCAGGGTAACTGATCAATATCAATCAGTCTAAAGTGATAGGAACGACACACGGGGCACATTGTCACATTATGAACAGTGTATCGGTTAATCCTTGATCTCCATTCAACGGGTCATGACGTTTGGGTCTTGGTCTCTTTGTGCAGGCGGCACGCTGCTCAGAAACAATCCCAGCTGAAGCAGGTTCTGACAGTGATTCAAGTCTGCCCGGCCAGTAACAGCTGCACATTAAAAAAAAAAAAAAAAAGCTTGTACACTTCTGACACAGTGTGAAACATCTCTAAGCCGTATCATTGCCTACACTTGGTGCATGATAGGTCATTGAATAGAAATGCCCACTGACAAAAGCCCGAGGCCCGGAGGTTGCCTCACTTTTTTTTTTCATAAACTGCACACTTTTGTCTCGTTTCACAGCAAATTTCTGCCAACTTCAGTGTTCATTGTCAGCAAAGATGTGAGTGTGGAGTTTTGTTCTGAGAGGCATGATGCAACCAAGCTGTAACACCAAACAGATAATGCTGTTAGCTACAGAGGTCTTTTTAGTTCCTTTCTTTAAAAGAATTTCTTTTTATATTGTTAAGTTTCACTTTTTTAACTCCATGCATCCCAGAAGCATTTTTCCCTTCTTTTGTCCACAACAAAGTCGCCCTTTGTCAAACACCATTCCTACTGCAGGTCTGAATTGTGACACGGCTACAGTGCGCCTATAAAAAGATTTGTTCCTCTCGTCTCATTGTATGTATTTATACGTTTTTCCTTGATCGTCTGTTTGTGCAGATCATTGGAAACAAACGACATGCATAATTTATAACGTCAGTTAAAGAACATGACGTGCAATAAATAGATGCAGTGAATCACTGATGCCACTTCAAAAGATTTTCTGTGCAGGTAATGATGAGCGCACTTTACTTGGAAGCTTGCCTCTTGCCTTTTTTTTTTCTCCTTAATTAACAGACAAACTGGCAAGTTATATTCTGACGTGAAATCGTGTCTGTTTGCAACAATGCCGCTGCGTGTCTCTGCACTTACACACTCCAGGTTGAAAGATGGCTTTCATCCCACTTGACAAGGTTAAACACACACAAGATTATCAGCAGTGGAGAATAATAGAGAAGCTCAGAGAGGTTTGCATTTATCTAAAAGGAGTCCCTTGATTTTATGTGCTGCTCTTAATATAATTGTAAGTATGAACATTTTGGCAGTGCTCTGTATTTAAGACTGTTCCCTTTGCTCAAAGTTATGTATGTATTGTAAAGCAGCAACAGCAGAACAAGTGTTTCAGCTCCAGTGGTCAATAACGAGGCTCCCTGGACACGTGAAAGCTTTGTTAAACGCTGTTTTTATTCTCCTTTATCAGTTATTTCAAAAAGAAAATACACACATGCACACCAAAAAAACTTTGGAGTAAGTTTCTGCAGAGTGCCTGTGTGGATAACCTTGAGTTCACCAGCTTGCCTGTGCAAGCTACATGCTAAGGTTATAGTCAGAGCAGAGGCGTGTTAGTGGGCTAGAATTCCAATTTTGTCAAATCAAAGCATGTAGATTCAGGACTATCTCAAGGCCAGCTGAGAGGAGCCAGGAATGCAGCCTGCAGAGTCGAACTTGATGGAATTTTCCACGCATACCAGAAACAGTCCCTTGCCAGTGTGCCATCTGCTGGATGATGGGTCAGTTACTGCCACAAAACACGAAGGATATGTAGCACAAGCGCGCCGTAATAACCACCATCCTCACAAAATCTTCACAATCTGACTGTTTGCTCTTGTCTTCCTTCTTTTCTCTCACATGCCCAGGGCTGCAAAATGCAGGAGTTCCAAGAGCACATGAGGAGGAGTTGTTAAATTTGGGACAACTTCTGCACAGATTAGTTTCAAAGCCTTGTTGTGTGTCTCCGCATGGATTCAGCTTGGCATTTTAACAGAGGTATCCACTCGCAGTGATAGGGAGCTTTAGTGCAGAGATTCAAATGGTAAACAAGTGGGTCTTAT